GGGGGGGGGGTCGGCTACACCTGAAGGCTATCTCGCTTATTAGTGGGCTACATTTTACGATATTTCACACATATAACAAGCATAGTAAGGAGTCTTATAATCCGCAATCAAATTTGAGAAAAAGTTTCGTTTTTGAGGATACGGTGGCCATATTAGATTTCGTTGACATGTCTTACGTAATGAATACCGCACTTATTGCTTATGGAAATTAATTGGTTTTTTTTTCATTCTTTTTAACAAACATTAGATCTTAAAATTTGTCTGGTTTTTTTTGTTCCTAAACGAATTGTTTAATGAATTTTTTCTTGAGGAAGTATTCAAATTGGCAAAAAAATCCGTGAAAATCCACACTCCAGAGATTTTAGTATTACATCTTCTCTTCCTTCTGTGAAAATTTCATGAAGATAGAATACAAAAATGGTGGAGTTATTTTTAAAAGTATAGAGAAAAATCGCGTTTTCAGAAAACGGCTGATATAGAAAAATAAAATATTGACTTTATGAGGAAATGGTGGTGACAAACATGTCCAGTATGGGAAGAAATCAGGTTTTTGGGGGCTCTAATGCGATGAAATAGTTGTAGGAGAGGCTGAGGAAGCTAAGAAGGTCTACAACTCAAATTCCATAATTTTGAGCCGAATCGAGACTCTGGGGGTGCAACCCCCCCCCCCCCCCTTAAGTATCAGTATGCGGATATCGGGATTGTTGCCTGCCCACCCAATGTTGAAATAACTAACAACACCGGTGTATACGATGTAGCGGTTAGGCACTTTGTCGTCGCATACCGAAGAAGTAAGTTCAGTTTCCGTGTGGGGAGGGTTATATCGAGCTATACCGTAACTCCGTTTGTCTTCTGAATATTGTATCTCTCTCAGCGTGGGATGGCCCTGACAGGCAAGGTCGAAGCAGCCCGCTTCGTAAATGGTCAAATTGTGTCGATTGGGGCGTAAAACATCTACAATTACATCTATAAGAAAAACAATCACCGGCATAAAAAAGTATACTCAGAGTAAATAATTTAGCGTATACCCTTTTCAACCCACTTATGAAATAATTGAGGTCCAGTCTTTGGCGGTATGGTTAGACAAACTGGAACCTGGTCTAGTGAATTTCCACAATTTTATTTCTATTTAAAGTCACGTGAGCGTCCTTCTCTCCACATGTTTCTATCTCAGAAAGCAGCACGACCAGCATCCAGGAAACACCTCTTGCGACTGGGCAGCTGCATGCAGAAATAGCTGCCTTACAAGAGCAGATAAGATATTTGACCCTGGCAAATGACATTCTAATTTCCGGACAAGCTGTCTTACTAGAGCATATAAGGAATTTGACTTCCGAACAAGCTGTCTTTCTAAGGAATTTGACTGAGAGCCAAAGCAATCGATCTTGTGGACAAAATCCAGGAGACAGATTTGATATTTGGATACTCGTCACCGTCAACGTCAGCTTGATTGTATTCATCCTTGGAATAGGAGCCTATCAGAACCGGAACCGTCTCAAGGAATTGGTATGCCGGAAACAGAACCAGAGACCGGAAATTGGGAAAGGTAAGTTCGGTACTTATATCTTATACCTTTCTGTACAGGCCTATGGGTGAATAAAACTATATTGGCTTGTCTGTATCATTATGTTCTCGTAAACTGTAATTAAAACGTTGTCTCTTTCGATTGGGCAGTTGGTTGCAGAAACTACTAGTGTTATACTTCTTTTCGACTAAAATTGAACGACACGGTGGAATCAGGCGCTTGCCAATTTTGGGGCACATGGCGTAATTGGTATCATCTTAAAGTTTGTTCGTTTGCTTTGCTTTTCTTGAAAACATATCCGTTTATCTTGAATAGAAGTTCTGATGCTTGCTTTTGAAGTAGGTGGGGATTCTGCACTTTTATAATTTTTGAGTCTTTCATCAACATTTTTCAGTCAAATCTACACAGAAATGTGTTTTTAAATGGACATAAAGGTCATCCCCCCAAAAAAGAAAGAAACTTACTTTTTGAAAAAAAAAACTTCGCCCGACGGGCAGAAAAATACATGGTTATATGCTTTCATTATTTTGATGAGCGCCTTATTTCACCTCGATGCTTCACAAATGTAAAAAATCGTTCTTGGAAACGGATACTCTATACAGTGAAAGACTATTCGCTTTCCTCTTATTTTCTTTTTCTTACGACTGTTTGAATAGCTTTCCAATTCCCTCAATGATCATCTGTTAAAGAAAGTTGTCTTGTTTTCACAGATGCGGATGGAACAGACCACGACAGAAGGCGAAGGTACCTAGGAGGTCATGAACTAGCGCCTACCTCTGCAAACATCCAGATTAGAAGGGACTCGGAGGTATAATGCCAGCCTATAAGAAATTAGGTTACCACCTACATGCATCTCTCCCAACCTCACCACCCCCTAATTTATTATCAGGGCCCCAGCTCAATTAAAAAAAAACTTGGCGCGTGGTAAATTAAAAAACAAAACAGCAAAGTCGCTGCCCCAGTTCTCTAAATGGGAGAACTGCGACACCATTTGGCTTGTCACAAATTTTGACTGTTCTCATTCATTTGAAAAACTCAGATATGAGTTACACATGAAACAACATCCAAAGGACAATAACACACTATGTAAAGCTTAAGCATTTATTTTCATTAACAGCCGAATTATACATGGTTTCAAACATGATATATGCACGCGGTGAACTGGGACAGTGGTAGGTAAATTGGGATGGTGATTGGGGTGAAGTGGGATATAGCTTCACAGGTCTAAGGAGCTGAGGTTGGGGTGGTAGGAGATCAAGTCATGTGTCTTGATGATATTGCAGTAATTGATCAGTTACAGCTGACGGCAAAAATCGTGGTTTTCAAATATCAGTTCAGTCAGATGCCGAAGCCAGACAATGCTTTTAGGAGTGGTTGCTCTAGTCTATGCATTGCTCGTCCCATAAGCCATATTGTAAATGGTAATGTTCATTCCTGGATTTTAGAGCATGGAGCTTGGAGGTGTTAGCAATTGAACTGAAATGTGTTATCATGGGACCGAAGAAAGTCCTATCAAATAGTTGTGTTTAATTTATTGGATGGGATGATAGAGTGATAGAAAGCACAACGTTCTTTTTGGCAAGTTCAAGAGAAAGCATTGACAAATGACTCTGGTGATTATCAATTTATTAAAACCGATGGATTCTCATTGCTTCTCCTTCACCTATCCCGTAGACTGGATGTCCATCGGGGCGCTTTTGAAGATTTGGCCACCAGCTTCCTCCAATCCTTCCGGTCTTCAGCTTTCGTGAGCGTGTCTTTGAGTTCTAGGCCTGTCCATTCCTTGATGTTATCCTCCCAACTCTTCTTCGGTCTAGGACAAGCAAGATAAATGGAGTGCCCCTTTACTTTGGGGGAAATGTTTGAGTTCATCTACCCATTTCTCGACACTAAAAACCCTTCAGCAGCTCCATTCACCATATATCCTTCAAAATTTCTGCTAGAGAACATGAAGACAGGCTGCAGAAAAGATCCATTTGCAGAAACGTCACAAGTGGCGTCGGTGACCTCGTGGTAGGCTACCGGACTCGTAATCGAGAGGTTGAGGGTTCGTGGAATCGAGCTTGCGGGCCCGACGTTGTGTCCCTGGGAAAGGCACTTTACACTAATTTTCCTCATTTCATCCAGATGGAAATGGGTACCCGGCCATAGACAGCAAAAGATCTTATCAGTATGTTCGTGTTTTAGCACCTATAAATGGTCGCTTGCACTGTATGCGTCTCAGGAAGTTGAGGTTGTTTCAGAATGCTCTCAGGTCTGCTGGGGTAGTAGGATATATTGTGAAGCGCATAGAGCTTGCTGCTGAGCGGGGATTTGCGCTATACAGATGCTATCTACTATTATTATTAACAATTTTTTAAATGATGACCAATTCACCACGCTCTTGTGAGGTGATCTTCCAAACCCGTTTCTACCCTTTGAGTGTGCGATCACTTGGATTGGGGGGGGGGGGTATACACAGTATTGCATCCAGATTTATATAAGTTGTATACCGTAAATGCTGATACTTTGGTAGCTGCCACTACTACAAGAATTCGGAAAGACCTAGCTAGATTCTTTTGGTTGAAAACCGACGATTTTTTTGTTAAAAGTCGCCTCTTGAGTGCGCAGAGGGTGCATTGGCAAAAAGTGGAATAACTGCTCTTCACCAGTCTCTGTGTCGTCATTCCAAAGCTCTGAAACGTCCACATTGTTCTATATTGCCATATCATGGGCTTACGTACCAGACTGGTATGTTGTGAAACCATAAAATGTTGATCATGTTTTAGTTAGTCGGCGAGAGTCCATTCTTGTGCTTCAAGAAAACCTTTTCTTTTTCCTGGTAGCTCGACTGAAGCCTTGCATGAGCCCAGACTTTCACTTTCTACACACAACGACCAAGTGTCGCTTTTGATACACCGAAGTCTGCTGATGCTTCTTGAACAGTTTTACCATTCTGGACAACCCCCACATGCTTTTCAAATTCATATGAGATGTAGGTAAATCTATCTACGGGTTTTCGTCTGCAGATCCGAGGCATTTCTACCAACCCCCCCCCCCCAAACAACAACCCCCCCCCCCAGAAAGTTGTGTTAGAAATCTAGAACCACATAGAGGTTAATATATTATTATGGACTGTTAACCTACCAAATCATTTTTCTATTGCACCACGTTCCATCCCGATGTGATAATTTTGCACTGAATGAGTTGATCTCTTTTCCACAAGAAAACGGAGACGCCAGTGGGGTAAAGCGGGAAACTGTGTCCCAATTCTCCTCCATTCCGATTCTGTGTTTGCTTTATAAAATTATAGTACTCTGCCCGTCCAAAATGATTATCTTATAAAGTGAATATAAAACAACATATTGGATGCAGAGAGACAGAAACTGGTCTTGAAAAAAGAAAACTTTGGAAAACTGGGTGGTCTTTGGAACTTGAAAAAGGAAATAGAAAATTGAAGGTAGGTAACAACAATCAAAATGTATGGTGATAAGTAGTATATTCAACACGACACGGTACATTTTGTTCCAGTGTATCTGCGTCCCAGTTCTCCCCACTCTTCCTTGCCGGTTTAAAGGCAATAGCTGAGAACTTACCTGAAAAGGGGAAAATTGCGAGTATAATAATGACAATACAACAACAACAACAACTACTACTACTACTACTACACTACTACTACTACTACTACTACTACTACTACTACTACTACTACTACTACTACCAGGGGCGGACTGGGTCTTAAAACCGGCCCTGGCATTTGTCATCCATACCGGCCCACTAAAGCCCAGTAAAACACGCAAAGCTGACATGTTTCTAAGCCTCCATACTATTATTATATGTTACTAGTTAGAGCACAGAAACGGACGAAAACACCCATGTTGTATTAATGTGTGTGTGTATGTGTGTGTGTATGTGTGTGTGTATGTGTGTGTGTGTGTATGTGTGTGTGTGTGTGTGTGTGTGTGTGTGTGTGTGTGTGTGTGTGTGATAAGCAGCTTTTAATATATTATATCATACATGTCGTACAACCAAATCAAAACAACATTAGCACAAGAACTCAGCCCAGAGCATACCTAAGAGAGTTGATGTCTGCGAAGTTCTTTGCTTTTGACGGCCACAGCAACAATGATGTCTTTTTTGTTCTGTTTGGTCAAGATCTCCTTTTCCACTGACATCAGCATAAATGCCTCAAGATGTTCAGGTGTCATCGTGTTTTGGAGACGGATTTTGATTTTGTTCAGGGCAGAAAACGACCGTTCGCATGCAACCTGCGACATAGGCAGGGTTAGTAGTGGCTTGTAAGCAACCCCAATGTCTTTGTAAGCAGCGGTGAAGAGGTCCAACTTGAGTAGCACCTTGTAATAGCAGGGAGGGCAAGCTTTGCATGAGATACATGTAACAGTGGAACTTGAAACATTGTGTCTGCTCAGTTCTGATTCACAGTCAATATCGCTGTTTCACCTCATAGTGGTCTTCAACTGACTGCTTCAGGTCTTTCCATCGTTCTCCAAGGCTTTGCAATTCTGTTTGCAATCCTTCTGCGGTGACGCTAACGTCAAATCTCAGTAAATACTTTTGCAGCTCTTCCATAGCCTCTGATAGGACTTCACCAAAGTTTCTTGGATGAACAAGGGACAGGTCAGCAAACAATCTTGGCGCTGCAGATCCTTTAAATCTTTGTTCAATGCTGTTAACAAGGGTGTCTACAATTCGATTGTACACTTCAACTTCAATACGATATTTCTTAATGGGGTCAGCTGTTGATGTAGCTTCGTCGGTACACAATTCAGCATCCATTCGTCTGCGTCGTCTTTGCCGTTTCAAGGGAAGCGACTCTTCCACGAACGAATCTGACCCGCTCTCCTCCTGTGCATCATTCAGCCACTGAACAAACTTTGCAGCTGCATTTTTAAAAGCTTCGAAGTCCGTTCTGTGGGCCGGCATGTTTGACAGCAACTCCGCCACCATCTTGCATTCCGTCAAAAGGTCCAATTGCACGGTTTGCAGATACTTAGAAAGGGCTATAGTGCGTGAAAATATTTGCAGATACACTTGCGCTGTGAGAACTGTTTCAAACTTGAGTAGAGCATCAATGTATCCTCTTATTTTAGCTTTTACGACTGCTTGGGTGTTGTCAGCAACACTTATAGCGTTGAGGCTGGTGATCACTTCAACAAACAGAGCTTCGGATGGATTGTTGAAAGAACCAAACACCTTCCTTAAGGCAGCATCTTTTGACCAGCATCTGGTCTCACCAATGATTCACAAACGCTTCATAGTTGTCGAGTGCCTGCTCCAGATGTACATCCACTGACAAGACTCTCGAAAGAACACCGCAGTGTCGTCCATCAATGTAAATAGCCATGCACTGTTCACTACAGCACTTGTGGCCTCCGAAACAACAAGATTCAATACATGAGCGTGGCACCAAACATGGATCTGCATTGGAGCTTTGTTTTAAAGCAGAGTACTGAAACCTCTATAGTGTCCCTGAATGTTTGCTGCACAGTCATTTGCGTTCCCAACTCATTGTTTGAGGTCAAGATTCAACCTTTGCATAACTTCCGAAACAATCTGCACAAAAGCTTCGCCGGCAGTTTCTTCACACTTCACAATGCTCACCAGTCTTTCTTGGATGTTGCCAGTTTTATCCACATACCGAACGACAATGGAGCACTGACCCTGAGTTATTATGCCCTGCGTTGTGTCAATTTCCGCAGCAAACATGTCTGTTATTTCTTCCGAAATGAAGTAACGGATCTTATCCCGAATAACCGTGATGATAGAATTCACAGTAGTTTTGGACAAAAAAGTAACAAATGAGCCTCTGCCTTTGGAACTGTTTGCCTTCTCATTTTTTGTCTTGCTGCTATGGACTACGCGAGAGAGGTGATCACCTGTGCATGAATCATATTTGCGTAGCAACTCAACAATTTCCAGGAAAATACCGTGGTCAATTTCTGCTTTGTGTAGGCTGCCTCTTCCGTACTTCCTCTGTAGCTTAGTCCCCTCTTGCCTATGAGTTTAACTACATCCACAACTCGGTTCATCACTTGCCGTTTTTTTCTGACTTCATCACTGTAGTCCTTCGCCAACACCTGAGAAATGCTTGATTGTTTTTTATCAACCAGGTATGCTGTTGAGCAGTGCAGATGCAAAGACGAAAGTTCATGCGGTTCCATTCGAGAATATGCGCGCCGCCAGTCTTTTATCCCCTCAAGAAATACGGGTGTGTCTGAAGTGGCAGAAAACACCAAGCAGGCATAACAGTGAAGTGCATGGGAGTGTTTGTTGTAAGACTGCCACCATCTGTCTTCATGAATAAAACATCCTTGCACCACTCAATTATATGTCTTCTGACATGGATGATGATTCCAAAACAACAACCTTTCTTCTTCTGTACATGGTTTCTTAAAGTAGTCAGTCCTGAAATCTTCAAGTTCAATATGTGCAGTCTGTTCTGCTCTAGCCAGGGGCAAAGCTTCTCTTTCACTTGTTGGTTTAATATCTCTCATTTCACCCGATGATGGTCCAGCAACTAATTAATTCACCGCTTTTGTCCACCTCGTCAAGTTCAGTTGCTTCACCTGCTGATAGATCAGCAGCAGCTGCCAATCCATTACCTTCATCCACCTGGTCAAAATCCGTTGTTTCAACTGCTGAAGGTCCAGCTGCAAGTGCCAGTATACTGCCTTCGGCCACATTTTCACCGATTTCAGGTCCCTTTGCATCGGCGCTTTTGAGCAGATGCAAAATATTTCGGCATTCTGATGCACTTTCAGACAGTTTGTTTTTCTTTCGATCACGTTCCTTCTCCGCACCCCCTTTTCTTCTTTTGTGGTTTGACGTATCCATTACCACTTATCCATTAAGCCCTACAAAGGAAGAAAAAGGAGTAGATCCACTGGTCTTATAAACACAGCAATCTGAAGACAATTTTTTAAAACCAAGCGGCCCACTTTGTCCTTTCAGAACCGGCCCACTTTGTCCTTTCGGCACCGGCCCAGGGGGCATTGCCCAAATGCCCATAGGCCAGTCCGCCCCTGACTACTACTACTACTACTACCACTACCACCACCACCACCACCACCACTACTACTACTACTACTACTACTAACTACTACCACTACTACTACTACTACTACTACTACTACTACTACTACTACTACTACTAATAATAATAATAATAATAATAATAACAGCAACAACAACAACAACACCACCACCACCACCACCACTACCACCACCACCACCAACAACAATAATAATAATAATAATAATAATATTAATAATAATTATAATAATGATAATAATAAGGATAATAATAACAAAAATAACAATAATAACAATAGAATAATAATAACGATAATAATAATAATAATAATAATAATAATAATAATAATAATAATAATAATAATAGGTCTAATTGTTCGTCCATCATAAACTCATGATGATCTTTACCATCTTGACCAACCAAGGGATAGAGAGAAGTTATAGCTTGGTAAAGAGAGAAAAGTGACGCAATAATAGTACGCAGCTTGGAATGATCACACACGCCACAACTCGCCGCAGATAGCAGCGCCTGTGTTTTTCCTAGAGTGGTGTGCTTATCTGCCAATCATTACGGTTGGTTGATTTAACCTTCTCATGGCTTCGCTTGCGATCTTCAAACCCTTTTCTTTTTACGAAGAAGTTTTCAGAAACAGAACACGTTTGGTTTGTTTGGCTAATGTCAATTTCAGGATTTGATCGTCTTTATTTATTTTCTTCATTCTTTGGCTGTGTCTGCTTCACAAGCTCTGTTTTCTAGAAAATAAATAAGTCAATCAAAACCTTTCTGCCCCATGCCACGACGATATGCCCTTCAATTAAAGGGTAGCGAAAACAAGCGATACAGTTCGGAAACTTAAAAACACATTGTATGTCTCGAAAACTAATCGTCGAGGCCTATATTTTTTAGAAACATTGTTTCCATATCCTGTGCTGCTGTACAGATACTTTTGAATGATATTTAAGCATAGACCTTTTGATGTGTTGAATACGAGAATTTCCGGAATATCTGAGCATTTTTTCTTCTCTGCTTTTTCAGTCCTCGTCTGATTGCTAAATGGAGTGTTTGTTTTCTGAATGAGATGGAAGCTCAGGGACACCTCGAAAGCCGTTGTACAACTGGGAAAAAACAAGTCTTCTGGATTACGGCCTGTCCTGTCAACTTTGAAACACAGCAAAAAGTCACTATTGAAACTGAACATTTTACAGGCTACATTTTGGGATTCTGTTTTAAATTTTGAGTTAAGGAAATGAAGTTTCCCAATCATTTTGTCTCCTCCTCCTCCTCCTTGCTCTATTTTGTATTTCAAATGTATAGGAAATGGCATTTAAAAGAACCCGAAATTAATTGTGCTTTTTATACTTTTGATTCACCCCTTTTGTCCACAAATTGGTTTTAAATAATGTATATATTAAAAAAAATATTTTTCAGAAGTTTAAAACAAAAAAAGAGTAGTGGATGATTTGTGTAAAATAGCGTTTTGTACCTGTCTCCTAAACTTCACAAATTTATGTTAATTTTTTAAGTTTCGTTAGTCATCTTTTGGTCTCATTTAAGTATTATGTGAGTAGCTGACCAAACATCGTTGATTCTCATTTCCCCTTCTTTTTGTGTTTGTTAGTTTCTTGTAACACCTCTAGTCTCCGAAAATCATATGATCTAATTATGTTGCTTTACTTTTATCTGCCGCTTATACCCTTTTGGTGGTCGCGGGGAGAAAGACACGTAGCTCTGCCACCAGCCGGAGAGCTTGGGTCAGAGGGATGCCATGAGTTGTTAGTGTTTCCCTCACTCCATCTATCCAGGTCTTTCTCGGTCACCCTCTGATCTAATTGTGTTGCAAGTTCCGTAAAACACTTTCTTCAAATATTTAAACATGACTTTAGTATCGGGCACTGCATATGCTGATGCTTCCTTGCTAAATCAAATAATGACGAGCACGAGAAACAAAAATTAATTAATCCGATTATTATAATTTATGTTGTTCTGCTTCATGTTTAGATACTGAGGATGCAGTGTGTGTGTGTGTGTGTGTGTGTGTGTGTGTGTGTGTGTGTGTGTGTGTGTGTGTGTGCGTGTGTGTGTGTTTGTGTGTGTATATGTGTGTTTGTGTGTGTTATATTTATGCATATCTATCATCATCGTTGTGCTGTGATAGTATGAGTGCTTGCTTGTGTGATACTGATAGTCTTAATTTACGGGGCGTCAACATTCAATATCTGTTCAGCCGCCCATCCTCTATGAATATACTTCCGAGATACTTAAATTTTTCGACCTGTCTGGGAAAGTTGCTTTTTATGTGTATCCTGAGTGGTCCTGGCTTTCTGCTTACTTCCATTGTCTCTGTATGGTTGATGTTGATCTTCATGTCATAGTTGTTACATTCTTCGTTTAATCTGGTGGTGTGGTGTTCATCTCTGTGTGCCAGGCTTTGGTCATCAGGGAAGAATAATTCATTTAGGGCGTCTGGTTCTGTGTTGGCCACATTTGTACCTTCCTAAATAAACACAATTTCGAAATTTTCAATTTATTTTTTTATTTGTGTACTAGACTCTTTGTTTGAACAGTTTGGCATGTGTGTGGGGGTTAATCTTTAAGAAATGGCATCATAAACTAGACTTCCCTTGTCAATCACATTCAACATTTTGGTAAAGTGTCAAAACGCTTAAAATAATAATATGGATATGCAGCTGAAGGTTTGGTACCAAAACGTTTAAAATTAAGTTATTATCTCCGAAACTGAAACAGGAGGCTCTCGTGGACTAGAGGTTAAGGTGTTTGCCGCTCATTCAATAGGTCCCGGGTTCGAATCCGGATAGCGACGGAACATTTTTTTCTCTAAAAAATTCCCCTTTCACATTCTTTCCTTCTCTTTAAATAATGTTTTGTTGTCTGCTTTCATCTCTCTCTCTCTCTCTCTCTCTCTCTCTCTCTCTCTCTCTCTCTGCCTCCACCACATCACCTCCTTTGTCCCCTCCTCTGGGCTCCCGTCTCGTTCTGCAGTATTTCTACTGCTACTCCTTGGCTCTTTCATACTGCTGCATTTCAGCTACACCCCTGATCTTCTGTCAGGAAAGGTCTGCACCTAGCCTTCTAGGACAAGGGTGACAAATCTCGGAGGTCCCTTGTGTAAGTTGCGCACGTTAAAGATCCTTTGGTGGTCCCAAATCGATAAGAGTAGGCTTCGGCCGCCATCCCGGCAAAATTCAAAATTTTCTACCAACTAAAGATGTTTTATGTGTCATGCGCGCTCATATGACCGTATACAGTTTCAAGCGCCGTAAAACACTTACCAAAAGAAAAAAAACTCCAACAAAACTAACATTATCTTTCTCTTACAGGAGATAACCTTCCTCTTGAATAACCGTAGCTGATAGAGGTGTATTTAATCCTTACCAGACATGATAGGAGAGAGACAATTACCCCCCGGGGCAGTGCCACTGACTGCAGTGTCTTTTGGCCATTCCCAAAGGGGGGACATTTCTCGTTCAAGCACAGCAGAATTGTAAATGGGCTGATTCATCATGTCACGATCATAACTTTGCCTGATCTACAACAGGGAACTGCTGCTTTTTCTTTCCTAATCCTTACTATTGTCATTTCCCTCTACTTTTTTGTATGTTTGTCACACTCTTGTGACCTGCTACTTCCGGGGTGCCTTGATAGTCGAAGCAGACCTTGTGCTGTTGAAGCTAGAGAGGTGAGCAGAGTAAGTCTGATTCCCTGTAAAGACTTCTCTGTTGTCACCCACCCCTTGGCGTTGATATAACCTTATGCAGTTGCGAGCGCCGTAAAACCCTCTACTAAATAAATAAAAAGAGAGACAATTGTTACTCGTTTTGGCGGTTCAATCTGCAAGGTACCTCAGGCAGCCGAAGTTGCCAACAACAGTATTGTTACGTCTAAAAATAATTCCTTTTTTTGGTCTTTGGTTTACATGTCCGAGAATTAATTTTCAAAGTTCTTTAAAATATGCATTTAAATGGGGGTTTTTCCCTAGCAATTTAAAAAAAATGTTGCTTTTAAGATATTAGTCAAATCTTTGACTGCAAATGTTTGTTCGGTACTTTGCCTCGGACAGCAATGGAACATTCCAAAGTCGAACTGCCATTCATTTAATTAAATATCACCGTATACGTTTGAAATTGGTGTCAATTTAAAGGGAATTTCGTCTTCTTTTCTATTCTACCAAATCCTAAATCATGAAATGTGTACTAAATGAACCAAGCTGTCAGGACTCAACAAAATTAATTGTGTCCAATCAAGCGGTTCGCCCCTGAGCAAAGAATAACACTACCGTGGTATTGCGTGTCGTGAGAGGCATAGGTCTGGTCTCCCGAAATAGCAAGTTTGAGGAGGGCCAACTACCCAACCCAGTAAAAACAGTCAGTTACAGAAACACAGACTAACACGGCTTTTTATTTTTCGATCTTGGGAGATGGAGGAGCTTCTGCATTAGCAGGACCCATGAAGGACAGCGGACAAAGCGAAAGGACCTTCTCCGTCGAACAAGTCTCTCCGGATAACGTCGTGGAATGTTCGCACCATGTAGGAATCAGGAAAGAGTTCTCAAGTATCACAAGAGATAAAGAGATACAGGCTACACATACTAGGTGTCAGCGACTGAGGGCGGCTGAGGTCAGTCGCTGTTTCTTAGCTCCTGTGTTATTGGTGATTTTGTTACGGATTTCAGTGGATAAAAGTGGTTGTAAGTGGTGGTAAGAGGTATCATTGGTATACTCAAGTAAGTTTTGATATTTTTGTTGTAATTTGTGCACTGTATACTGTCTTTTCTACTGTCTGCATAAATTTTTCTTCTCAGTGCACTTTGCTTCGAGCACGGTTTCATTGTTGTTTTTTCTATTCCTTCTCGCCCGGCTATCGCGCTGTGTTTTTTCACTCCCTGTCTCACTCTTACTCGTTCTTCTGTATCCTGGTATTGCAGTTTTCTTGTTTTAATCATTCTTTTTAGGAATAACCGTCTACTGCTCAGTGAACATGATGGCAAAAAATAACAGTGAATCTGTCCCAGCCTGTTTTTTCTTTGCAGAGCACATTGACCGCTCTGTCACAGGCTACCAAGTATGTAAAGCCTGTGAGCAAGTTGCCGGCGAGGGAAGTATTATCGGAGCTCAAAAGCTCTATGGACTGTGGAGGATATACCCTGCTACGGTTCAGGCAAGAAACCAACTAATTATTAAGGGCATCATAATAAACAAAATGTTTGTCGCTATCCTCAGCGCCAGCCCGACAGTGACGAAAGGAACCAAGGACTCCCCCACAGTGAAAGTCATCATTGGTAACATACCGTTGTCAGTGTCCAATGATGAAATAGAAAAAAGAGTTTAAGAAACTAGAGGGAGTGGCCATTCTTTCAAAGTTTTATGAAGAATGTTATAGGGACAACGAGGGAAAGTTGACCTTGTTTAAATCTGGTAGACGTTTTGTCTACATTAATGTCCCTCCTCACCCTCTCCCCAAAGATTTTCAGGTTGGACACTGGAGGCCAACGTTGTATCATTACGGCCAGAAAGAAAAAAAAAAGAGACGATGGGACCAATACAGCCGGTGGAGATCAGCCCGCCCCCGACAAAAATGTTCAAGCGACAATCCGTGAGGCTAACGCTGACACACAGGCGGAGACACAGGCAGAGACACACACCCTGCATGCCGTAAGACAAACAAATATGGACTCTTTTTTCCAGCAGCCTGACCGCTCCCACACCCCATAGTACGCTCACCCCGAAGCCAGGACACAAGGTCTCCAAGTGTCAAGACGAGGAGACATAAAAGACAGGTGAGCGACGAGCCAGCTCGGTCACCGAGCGTGAAATCTCGAAAACAGGAGGTGAGTGGCACGAGAAGAAGGCAAGACACGGTAGATTATTTTGATTATGAGGAGCCAGTGACTACCGAAACGTGTGAGCACGAAGAGGTCGGTGCGTGAGTGGTGTGTACACGTTTCGGTAGCCATTGGTAACGACTTGGACTGGTAAAAGGACTTTGAGTTTGGTTTTGCGTCTGACTGTTTTGGATGTCTATAAAAATTGCCTCCCTTAATTGTCGGGGCCTCAACAAAAAACTAAAAAGAAGAGCGATATTCCGTAAATGTACACAGTATGACATAATTTGTTTGCAAGAGACTTATGTCACCAATACAACTGCACATGAGTGGAGTTTAGAATGGTCTGGAGATTTCTTTTATAGTGAAGGGACAAACAAAAGCAAAGGGCAAATTATATTATTTAATAAACACTTTAAGTATAAAACAGTGGAATTATGTATAAAAACTGAGAGAATACTTGGGTTGTCTTTCAGTATAGATGATGTTTCATACGTAGCAATTAATATATATGGTCCAGTAGTTAAAAATGATAAATTGGATTTCATTGATAAGCTCTACTCTGTTCTTAAAGATGAAAAGGCAGACCACACGATCATATGTGGAGATTTCAATGTTGTTCATAACAATACCCTTGATATTGTGACAGGAGAGAAACACGACGACATGTCCTCACAAAAATTCAGGGACTGGATCGCCAACTGTCAGATCGTTGATACCTGGCGGGGTGTGCACGGTGAAGAAAAGGATTTCACCTGGTCCAGGCCTACACCCTTTACAGTACGGCGGCTGGACTACATATTTTGTAATACTGAGTTATTTCCCTTTGTTATAGACTCTAAACACACATTTGTATATGGTACGGATCATAAAGCAGTCATAACTACTGTTCGAACTGAAAAATTTAAAAGGGGGCCTTCATACTGGAAATTTAATAATTCATTACTAAAAGAAAAAGAGTACGTTAACTCAATGGAGAAATGAATAGACGAATATTTAGAACGGACTTTAGATGAAACAGATAAAACCATAAGATGGGAACTTTTGAAAGTCATGATAAAGTGACATACAATTGACTATTGTATTAGAAAGTGCAGAGCACACAAACTAAGGGAAAATCTAATAACGGAAGAACTTTTGAAATTAAATGATCAAGTAGTGAAAACCCCCCAGGACCTTACATTGCTTAAACAGTTTGAATCCAAAAAGAAAGAATTAGAAATATATCAACTACATAAGGCCAGGGGAGCACAAATACGATCAAGACAAAAATGGATTGAGGAAGGGGAAAAGAATACGAAATACTTTCTTCGGGTGGAACAAATGAGAGGTGGTAGTAATGTTATAATTTCTTTACAGGATGACAAAAACAACAATCTGTATGGTCATGTAGATATTGTGGATAGCATTAAAAATCACTTTGAACGTTTATATAAGAAAGACCATAATATTGAAACAAACAGAGTTGATGATTTCATTCAAGGATGTAGCTTTCCAGTACTCGATGATGTTGATAAAGAAATATGTGATAGCGAACTAAGCATTGTTGAATTAGATGCCATTGTTAATAAGTTGAATATTGATTCAGCACCTGGAATCGATGGAATTACCACCCCTTTTTACAAATTTTTCTGGAGCAAACTGAGGAAACCTTTATTTACAAATTTCCAGCAGTGTCTAGAGA